ATGCATTTAATTGTCCAGAGCAAGAGGAAAAGCTCTCCATCCGAAATGTTCCAGTTTAACTGCTATAGAAATATCCAGTGAAATCCTGGGATTTGCAATTTAGGAAGGAACATTCAGAATTTTCCACCAGAGAGCTCTTTTGGTGCCTCTCAAAACTACAAACACCAGGGTTCTGTAGGATGGAGCCAAGGTCATTAAAGTGGAATCATAGTGACTTTTTTTTCGTGTCAGGAGCAACTTGAGAAACTGCAAGTCGCTTCCGATGTGAGAGAATTGGCAGTCTGCAAGGACATGCCCAGGGGATGGCCAGATGTTTTGATGTTTTACTATCCTTATGGGAGGCTTCTATCATGTCCCCGCATAGGGAGCCAGAGCTGACAGAGGGAGCTTATCCGTGCTCTCCCTGGATTTGGACCTCCAACCTGTCGGTCTTCAGTCTTGCCAGCACAAGAGTTTAACCCATTGTGCCGTTGGGGGCTCTTGTGATAATTGCATATTGTGAAAGACTCTGGTTCACCAGGGAAATACTGACCTGCTTTTCTTCCATGCAGAATTCCTTGGGCAGAGAGGAATGTCCAAAGAGACCCAAACAATTCATAATTTTCCATTGAGTAACATCATTGGCATTTGTCTTGGTAAAAAAAGTCCTGTAATTTAATCTGGGGTTTTTAATTTCTGAAACTAATGTGACTACAACCATCCCCCATATGCTGTGAAAACCATCTGATGGACGTTTATTAGTGCTTTCATGCAAATAGATTTTCCTTCCTTGGCAGTCGCCAGTTAATGCAGTTCTCTCTCAGTCCTTTGCAGAGAAATCTTGCCAAATTTCTTTGGCACAATAAATATGCAGCATATAGCAGTCACCAACTAGTTTTCACCTTCCACCAAGTGGAAGTTTAATTTATCCATGCTGCACTCTAGGTGACTCCTGTAATGAATGTGTTAGAAGAGCTTATTGTTACCTTTAGAAACTTAAAACCACCTTGAGTAACTGGTGCCTACACAGGATGTTGATTTCTATCTTCTCACAGCACTAGTCAGCATTGATCCTATTATTGAACCTACTATGCATGTCAGTGCTCATTCCTGCTTTCAGTTGTAAGCTGGTGATTTTGGGGGGACATCTTATTATGCGTAAGACAGTATTTCTTGTTGTAATAACTATACATCTTTGCCTTAAGTGTATGCAAGCTCTGCTTTATGTGTCAGTTTCAAAATATGGTAACTTTAATTTAAAGAACGTTCACATAGCATTTGTCATTGCTTGTGAATATCTTGTTCTGTGTTCCATGACATATGTCTCTGAGATGAGCAAATCAGTACATCGTTTTGGCACTTTGGGTTGAATACTAGCTGTTTTGCAGACGGCAATGGAAAAAATAAGATGCTTGTATGTTAAAAATGGAATAGTTCATTCAGTAAAGGACAGGGTCACTATTAATAGTTAAACCTTTGAGCTGGCAGGACTGCTGACCGACAGGACAGTGGTTCAAATCCAGGAAGAGCAGGTTGAGCTCCCTCTGTCAGCTCCAGCTCCCCATGTGGGGACATTAGAGAAGCCTTCCACAAGGAGAAGCCCTCTAGTAAATTGACATATAATAAGCTACTGCACAACTGACCAGTAATATGCTAACTGATCTCTGAATTCGGGGAACAGGGTGAGCTCCTTTCTGTCAGCTGCAGCTTCCCATGCAGGGACATGAGAGAAGCCTCCCACAGGATGGTAAAACATCTGGCCGTCCCCTGGGCAATGTCCTTGCAGACAGCCAGTTCTCTCACACCAGAAACAACTTGCAGTTTCTCAAGTTGCTCCTGACATGAAAAAAGCAGTTAATCCATTGAGCACATGCCCTAGATATATTTTAGTGCTCCAAATCTACTATCTGTGTTTCCAACTGAATATATGTGTTTGCTATGATTCATGCTTAGCTGGGCGTAGAAGTAGGAGAAAGAGTTGCAGATGTAAGAAAGAATATTGAGTTTGTAGTTTGAAATAATTGTGCAATACATAATTGGCCATGCTGGGAAGATCCGGAAGGCAACTGAACAAGAGGGGAAGTAATCTATTAAAGGGGTGGAAGTGCATAAGCTGGTGTGCTTGGGCTAATGATTCACTTACCATCTCTAAAAAGGCATTACTGTACTTTAACCTGTGTTAGAAGCGTATACTTTCTTGTCCTTATTTAAATTTATATTCCCCTTTTTGGCCCCTCTGAATGGCACTCAAGATGCCGAAGCATAGTAAAATTCAAATAGAAGCAAATACATATAAGATACCATAAGCAATATGAAAGCTCCTCAATAAAAAAAGAAATAACACCTTCAATCAGACACGTGATTTTCATTGTCAGTCTCATTCATTTCTTGATTGTATTCAGACATGATGCTAACAATTATTTAGAGTTCTAAAAGGCACTCTATACCTACTTTGGACCAGCAACAAGAGGAAATTAGAAGCTTCCCTTTAAAATAAACCAATCTCAAAGTCAATTTGAACTATGATTAGTGAAAGCAATCCAGCTTCATAAACTGTTTTTTCTAGTTGGCTTCTTTCCAGTAATATAATTAAGGGCAACCACAGCTTGTTTGAGCCGCAGTGGCACAATAGATTAAACCTGTGTGCTGGCTGAACTGCTGACCTGAAGGTCAGTGGTTCGAATCCACAAAACAGGGTGAGCTCCCATCTGTCAGCTCCAGCTTCCCATGCAGAGACATGAGAGAAGCCTCCCACTGGATGGTAAAATATCTGGGCATCCCCTAGGCAACATCCCTGCAGATGGCCAATTCTTTCACACTAGAAGTAACTTGCAGTTTCTCAAGTCGCTTCGGACATGATTTTTAAAAAAAGCTTGTTTGAGTTTGGTTGTTACAACAAGATGTGGTTTTATTGAAAAAGAAGTAAAAGCTTCCAAACCCCTCAAAACTGATAAATGATAGATTTGCATTACATCTAAACCACCCTATAGTGTTCTTCAAATCTGTTTCAACATTTCACATGTTTAGCAGCATCTTAAATCACAAAGAAAGGTAGGTAGTGTTCTCTCCACATGTATGGTGTGACAACATTTATAATTGGATTTATGTTGGAAACAGAAAGTGGACATTGAAGAACACTGAAATCCTTCAGCTAGCAGGTTTAACTCAGAAGTGTTTTAAGGGAAGTTGGTGGGTATGTTGGAAATGTCAGCCCCACACAGTCAAAAGAAGTCACTATTTGTTACCAGCAAATGGGAACAATCATTGAGAAGTTCACACTTACATGTCTCATATGTCTTAAGGTCAAAAACATTCCTTAGAATCTTCTGTGTCTTCCAACATAATATCAGTGGTCATATTGATCCAAATGGAACATGATTTTAAAACAGGAATTGTTAAAGAGAGCTTATTGTTACCTTTAGAGCAGTAAGAACTGAGGTTTTTAACTTATGGTGACTTATGGTGACCTAAGACAAACTGATTACAGGGTTTTCTTGCTAGATTTGTTTAGAACTTGTCTTTGCCCTTCTCTGAAGCTGAGAGAGTGTGATTTCCCCAAGGGTACCAAGCAGGGATTTAAATCCTGGTCTCTAGAGTTGGTATTTATAATTATGTTTATGTATATCCCACTTTTTCTCTCCGCAAGGAATCCATTGTAGTCCAATGGTCAAGACATTTCTTCCTCTTATAAAGCAAGAATACAGTGTGAACCAAATAAACTAAAATGTTCTATCTAATTGAATACAATTCAGTTGTGTCTTAAAAGAGATTTGAGGGTCTGTTTCCTACTCCAGAAAATGGTTGAGTTGTTAAGTGTATTTTTGCCACATTATTGCTGTTGTATACTGGTCACTCGTTTCTGAGGCTGGATCTACACTGCCCAAGATCGAGATTTGATCCAAGATTATCTGCTTTGAACTGGATTATACGAGTCTCCGCTGTTAGATAATCTGGAAGAAGGTTGAGAAACTGCAAGTCGCTTCTGATGTGAGAGAATTGGCTGTCTGCAAGAACGTTGCCCAGAGGATGCCTGGATGATTTGATGTTTTTATCATCCTTGTGGGAGGCTTCTCTCATGTCCCCGCATGAGGAGCTGGAGCTGATAGAAGGGAGCTTATCCAGCTCATCAAACCTGTGACCTATCGGTCTTCAGTCCTGCCGGCACAGGGGTTTAATCTGGGATCAGATCTTAGGATATAGGGCAGTGTAGATCCAATCTAACTTAGGTTAGGTAAAGGTTTCCCCTGACATCAAGTCCAGTCGTATCTGACTGGGGGCTGGTGCTCATCTCCATTTCTAAGACGAAGAGCCGGCATTGTCCATAGACACCTGCAAGGTCATGTGGCTGGCATGACTGCATGGAACACCGTTACCTTCTTGCTGGAGCAGTACCTATTGATCTACTCACATTTGCATGTTCTTGAACTGCAAGGTTGACAGAAGCTGGGGCTAACATTGGGAGCTCAGCCCGCTCCCTGGATTCGAACCACCGACCTTTCAGTCAGCAAGTCCAGCAGCTCAGTGCTTTATCCCACTGCGCGACCAGAGGCTATATTTTAAGCTGCTGTTTAGCTTTTATTATTCTTTTACCTGTATATGCAATTTTGCTATTTACCTATAATACTCCATGAATCTGACTGGATTATATTCCTGAAAAAAATATCCTTAAAAAAAAAACCCCAGATGAAGTGTTTCCACAGCTCAACCTTGAAAAGCAAGAATGCCATTCCTCATTGTCCTCCATCTGTTTTATACTTTCTACTGTAGATTTTATCCAGGACACTGGTAAAATCAGGCATCAAATTAAAAGTGTGAAGTCAGGCCCCATGGATTTACTTTAGCTTTACAAAATTTGATTTGGACTGATTTCGAGGGAAACACCATTAATGCTACATTGAGTGAATTATAGTATTTGGTGTGTTCTTGTGTATTTCTTAATGCTGAAAAGAGCAGCAACAATAGTGAAGGGTTTAAGATTCGCCCTAACAAGATTTCTTTGTTGTTGTTTTTTTTCTTTGTAGGTTGAAGAATCACCAGTGTGTCATAATCCCAAGGACGAAAAGTATAGAGATACAGAAAGCAAATCGGAAACAGGAAGAACGGTGATCCAAACCATACGGCTTGGTGTAGCAGCTGGTGTTGTGAATCAGGCCGTTGCCAAAGAGAGAACGGCTACTTCACAACACCAGGGTTGCCCCCTGCCACAATCAACTGCCCTACAGAAGGAAGCCACCCTGCATCTATGAGAAATGAAAGATGGATGGATTCAACTTCACTGTGGAACATTTATGACCTATTTCAAAAGGAAAGGGTGCTTTTTGCTAAAATAGCAACCTTCCAAGGCTCCACTAATTGTTCGTTAATGTATATAATTGTTAGCCTGTTCTCCTGGACTTGAGTGAGTACAGATATGCTTAAAGACACTTAAAAGACTATGTGCCTGTATACTGAATATATACATGTTTGCTAGTAAACAAGATACTTAAAAAAAAGCTACTTTGTTTTGTCTCTTGAGTGCATGTTTTAAGGGAGTGTATATCTTTTGGGCAACAGCAAATTACAACTACAAATTCTATTTTAAGCAGCCATCTTCTGCTAACCAGATATATTTGTGGAGTGGCCTGTCTTTATCCTTGGCCTAGAGACATGATTCCTCAGTTTAACAGCTGAGCTACCTGTGTGCTATTACAGGACTGTGGTGCAGCTGGCTGGGAGTCAGCTGCATTAAGATCACAACTGACCGAAAGGTCATGAGTTCGAAGCCAGCCCGGGTCGGAGTAAGCTTCAGACCTAAATTTTGTAGCTTGTTGTCGACCTTTGCAGCCCAAAAGACAGTTGCATCAGTATATCATCAAAAGAAGTTTCTGGAATTGGCAAAAAGCCTTTCTCCATAACCTGGACAATTCCTTACCAGCCATGCAATGACCATAATTTATGTCTCGCTATTTTCCTTAGCTGGATGTAATGCAAGTACTTCTGCACAGGCCTCCTGGGGACCCCTACAGGTTCCTAGCAGATGTCTCTTCCAGCACATTCAGCTCCAGAAAAATAGCTGATCCTGCTGCTCTCCAAAACACAGGAATGGCCACGTTGCACACGGAAGGGAGGTTGTACCCTTTAAAAGGTGAATTTGGGGTGGTAGAACAAGGAAACATAACAACATACCAGACATACATTCTCTGATACAGGATCTCAGCCTATACCTTTTTCTAGAGGATAATATTCATTAAATACTTGTTTTGCCCCCAAATTATAGATGTAATTATATTTAGAAACATGCTTATGTTTTTGTTTTCTATTATTATTATATTTATTATTATGTTTATTATATTCATTTATACCGCACTTTTATCTCTCCTGAAGGAGACTCAAAGAGGCTTCCATTAAAAATATAACCACATAATTTCAAATATGCAAACATTAAAAGAGAATTAAACATAAGAGTATTTAAAAATTCACTGTTAATATATATTAAAATATATTCAAAGCTAAAAACCACAGCAACCCTTAAATTGATCTTAAATACCATCATCTTTAAAAGCCTGCCTGACTATGGCATGGGCAATCCATGGTTCTGAATAGTTCTAAAGTACTTACAAAACTGAAGTTCTGGTGGTGAAAACTAGGGGGCGCTGGTGCTTTGCTTCTACAGTGTTGCTAAAGTTCTAGTGGTGAACATTTTAGAACTCTAACAAAACTTTCAAAATTTCATTATAAATGGCAGTTCCTAATTGGTTCTGTCATAAAAATCGCCAACAACAAAATAATAATGAAATTTTGAAAGTTTTGTTAGATTTCTGAAATTTTCACCACCAGAACTTTAGCAATGCTGGAGAAACAAAGCACCAGCACCACCTAGTTTTCATCACCAGAACTTAACTTTGTAAGTACTTTAGAATCATTTAGAACCATGGATTGCCCATGCCTACTGACTAAAAAGGTTTTAGCCTGCCACCAGAAGGACAGCAGGGTGGAAGCCTGGGCAGGGAGTTCCAGAGTTGAGGGGCAGCCACTGAGAGAGAAGGCCTGCTCTCTTGTTTCCACCAACCAAGCTTAAGATGGAGCTGGGACTGAGAGAAGGGCCTCTCCTGAAGATCTCAAGGCCCAGGCAGGTTCATACAAGGGGATGCGGTCAGCCAGATAGCCGTCTGGACCTAACCGTCTAGGGCTTTAAAGATCATAACCAGCACTTTATACTGGCAGCCAGTTGAGCTGCTGCAACTGAGGGGCTGTCTGCTCCCTTCAGCTGGTCAATTCCCAGTTGACCAGCTGAAGTTTCGGAGCACTCTTCAGAGGCAGCCCCACATAAAGCGCATTATAGTTATACGGACCTGATGTAACTAAGGCATGCACTACCATGGCCAGATCTGGCTTCTTGAGGAATGGGCGCAATTGGTGCACAAGTTTTAATTGTGCAAAGGCCCAAGTCTAGGAGGATCCCCAAACTGCAGACCCGTGTCTTCACAAGCTGAATCCCTATTCCTTAGTCTGTCTTCCAACTGATGAGGATTACCTCTGTCTTGTCTGGATTAAGTTTCAATTTGTTTGCCCTCATGCAGTCCATTACTGATGACAGACACTGTAATTGTTCATAGTTTCATCCGTATTGTAGGCTGTGTTTGCACATTTTTTAGCTGGTGTGTTGTTGTTTTAATATGTTTTTTTCTTCGGCTATCACAGTTAAAATAAACTGATGACACTATGTAACATGATTTTTGTTCCTGGGTTATAGATGTCATTTCCTAAATCATAAAAACAAGGGAAAAATTAAAATGCAGAAACTATGTTATTGTGGGACATCCTGCAGCACATTTTTGCTATAGTTTTTCAATGAAATGGAGTCTTGACCAAATCAACATAGTTTTTGGCAGCCACAAAAACCAAGTTTCTGGAGTATAACAACTACTTTAAAAGTAAGTACCGCACAAGTAAACAGAAAATTACACTTTCAAACCAGAAACTGAATTTTCAAATTTGTTCCATAGCGATATCAGTACAAGACTTTGTTCGATCACACACCTTTAAACATATGGCACTTTGGAAGTTGTCTCTACTCAACTCGTGCAACTCAAACTATCATTTCATTATCACTGTGCTGGATTCACCACCTCTGGGTTCAGCACATCTGCTATCCACATATCACATCCACTCATTTATCATCTAGAAATATCTAGATAGCTCTTCACTATTTAGGAATAACAGTTGCCTCGGACATTTTCTCAGACATTTGCTTCTAATATCTTCATGGCAGTTAGGCTTGCAATGCTATTTGCACATTTACCTAGGTTTATCTTACTAAACCCAGACAAATTTACTTCCAGTAGATCTGTGCAGCAAAACACATACTACTAGAAAAATCCATAAACAGATGCAGAAACACATTTGTTCAAAACAGACACAACACAATGACATATGTTGAGCTATAGGTATTGTGTCACAAAAGCAACCATTGTATAAACAAGAATGCTTCTGTTTTTAAAAGTTCTGTAAAGAGGTGCGAGTGTTTTGAAAATACACCAACAATAAACAAAGGTAATGAGAGAAGACATATTATAATCTTGCTTTGGTCTTGCTTTGATAGGGTATAGAATAAAACCGAGTAGACAATTTTCATTCTAACATTTTGCTGAATTACATATTGTTTGTGTTGTTAGCACAAGCAGACTGGCAGCACTTTCAGTCTCCTGTTCTTTACATTGGGACGGGCAACTTGTGGCTCTCCCAATGTTATTTGGCTGCAACTCCCCATACGCCCCCATAATTGGTTTATGTTGGCATTGGCTGATGGGAGTTAAAATCCAATAACATTTGTATAACAACAAGCAGTCTCAACTGGTGTATAATCCCATTAGTTGCAAATGAAAAGTATTGACTCTGGTTTAATAAGAAATTCTTGACTCTGGTTTAATAAGAAATAATATGGGTAAAGGTTTTCCCCTGAGGTTAATTCCAGGTGTGTCCGACACTGGGGGTTGGTACTCATCTCTTTCTAAGCCGAAGAGCCGGCATTGTCCGTAGACACCTCCAAGGTCATATGGCCGGCATGACTGCATGGAGTGCCGTTACCTTCCTGCCGGAACGGTACCTATTGATCTATTCACATTTGCATGTTTTCGAACTGCTAGGTTGACAGAAGCTGGGGCTGACAATGGGAGCTCTTGCCACTCCCCCGATTTGAACCTGCAACCTTTTAGTCAACAAGTTCAGCAGCTCAACAGTTTAACCCCCTGCGCCACCAGGGCCTCCTCTGTTAATATTTGTTGTTGTTAATTCGTTCAGTCATTTCCGACTCTTTGTGACCTCATGGACCAGCCCACGCCAGAGCTCCCTGTCGGCCGTCACCACCCCCAGCTCCTTCAAAGTCAATCTATAGCATATCCATAAAAAGAATGATAGTTTTGGGAACATGCAAAGGAATCTAAATAGCCTAAGTCTGGGAATAATCATAATTTTACTTCTGAGCCACATTTTAAAAATCAGCCTTAGTCTCCCATGACTGTTTTTTGCTAGTCTTTCTGGGTAAGGAACACTGTTCGGTATATATTATATTGTACATTTGTTGCCATCTACCACTAATAGAAATCTTGAGCCATAATTGTCATTGGTCCCAGAGGCCAATGCAGGGCCAGTGCTGTAGGGCTTAAACTTTCCCTGTTCCAATCCCAGAGGACCCAATTATGGAATTTTTATCTAGCGCTAATACATTTCTATATCCTGTCTGTTTCATTCATGGTAACATATATGGCATCTACCAAACTTAAATCTTAGTTTCTACAAAATGATCATAGCATGCGCTTTCAGAACGTGCCTTGAGGACTAACATCACAGCTATGTTGTCCATCACAGAGCTTGAACTCCTAGATTCAGCCACTGGCATCTGATTTAGACATATCAGACAGCAGTAGGGTTGAGAATATAATTATTCCTATGGAGTAGTACTAGTGGAATGATAGTACATGGGACTTGAATTGTGGGACTTGAATTGTTCAGTTCCGTGAGATATCAGCTTTATATATTTGAAAGTAGAAGGAGGTATTCAACCACATCTGTGCAAAAGCAAGAAGTTATACTTGAACTCCAGCTATTCAGAAAAATGCATGTTACAGTGCTGTTTTTAAGATAAGCAGCCATGGGCATTGTTTTCTTGAATCCCTCTTCTTTGTATTGTGTCCTTGCCTTAGAATTCTTGGTAAATGGAAAATGAATATAAATATTCAACATTCTACAAAAAATATTTTACAAACTTGCATATGTGTGTGTATATATACATATGTATGCATGTAAATATATTTAAAATTCTATAAAGGATTTAAATAAATGTGTTCATGTGTTTCAGCGTATGTATACTGATTGATGCTTTCGCCCATAAACATACATTGTTGTTGTGAGCCTTTACGTTGTTTCTGACTTCTGGCAACCCTAAGCCAATCATGGGTTTTTCTTGGTAAGAGTTGTTCAGAAGGGCTTTAACATATATA